CAATAGACGTTCATGTGGAAATATGAAGTATTGGAGTATTCTTGGGATCATGTTCCCAAACCACAAGAGGAATAACTAGATGTGTTACCCTTAGCAACCAGTCTTGTATCTGACTGGATTGTATTTGTAACAAACACATCATTTCTCACAGTTTAAACCAAGTATGGAAGGAAAAAAAAAAAAAAAAAAAAAAAAAAAAAAAAAAGGGGGAGGGGATGGGAGTGTTTCTCCCTGACTCACATCTTACGGCTTACCAATGAACAATGAAGGCGCACAGGGGGCAGATTTGGACAGCAGCATTGTCAATCTGGAGGGAGGGGGGAGTGTTAGTTGTACTAGCAGATTTAAATGAACTAACAAACTAAAGTTGAACTCTAGCTAATACGTCAAACATTTCCAAGAAACAATGTTTTTCCTCCTGGGATAAAAGTTTTACACCAATAAATAAAACTGATCATTGTAAGTACCTCTACCGGTGTTAATTGCTTGTCTTATCCCTGTAACCTGATACATCTGTAGGACAGCAAGTACTTTTGAAAAACAGACTTACTGGCTGGATCACAGGGGAAAAAAAGAACGAAAGCCTAAAAAAAAAACAAATGTAGGCATCACATCGAAGGATTGGTAAACGGCAATGATTTGCTTTTGGGTTTAATACTCCAATCCTGCACAGCAAAAAGATAAATACATTTTAGTACATGGCTTGCCTTTAATGGTAAATTATACCATCAAGCCTGGATGAGACCTGTCATGGCATTTATGCCAACTGTATATTAAAGCAGAATTCCAGAAAAGAACTTTTAAAACTTATGTTGGTCCAGCTTGACACAATGATCTGATATCTGGAAGGTAACTGGGGATGTTGAAAAATCACTATAGTTGTACATAAGAGTGATAGCTGTGACCTTCCAGGTGCCAATCCAGCAGCTTCCCCTCTGTACACTGAACACAGTAGGGAAGATCGAGGGAGCAGGGAGGCACTCTGTTGGCACTGCCACCATTCAGAGTACTTATACCCAGGGGCGGACTGACAACTCATGGGGCCCCAGGGCAATAGGGGATCATGGGGCCCCTGTGTGCTTGCCCAAACTCAAAAACAAGTCTATGAAAAAGGTACCAGGGGCATCTCATGGGGCCCCCTACTGACCCCGAGCCCTCAGGCAGTGCCCGAGTTTCCAAATGGTCAGTACGCCCCTGCTTACACCTTGCGTTTTTTCTTGAATGAACACAAGGTATTCTCTGTTCGGACAAAGTTGAGATCATGGCACCTTTCAATGGCTCTCTCATTTGGCACTCAGGAAGTAAAAAGTATTAACAATACATGTTCAATCTTCAGTAGAGTAGCAGCATGTACAAAAAGGTTTGGCTAAAATCCTTGAAGCAAACTGTAGATAATAAACTTGGAGAGGATTTTGTTTTCACAAACAAAAGTGCAGTTACACTTTTTTTTTTAAAGTCACCTGCAGGCTTCTCTTTCAACATCACAAGCCCCTATGTTCTGGTTGGCTACTAACATACAATTTTCACTTCATGCTTTGTATACTGCACAAGGCAGAAACCTGTAGAGTATTTACAGCACTGTACATTGTAGTAGAAACAGGATAGCCTTATTATTTTTCTACACCAGGTACTTAATTTGTTTTTGGGCTTGTCCGAATATGGTGGGAGTAATGCTGTTTCTGAGCTTTCCTTCACCACTGTCAGCTGATGACACTAAACAGGAAGGAATAGTCACACACCGCTTCTAATTTGTTTTTTATACAAAATTTGTACTAACACTAAACTCTGGTTTAAAGTGGAAGTAAACCCAATTTTATAGCCTTTACCTACAGGCAAGTCTTTATTAAGGCTTACCTGTAAGTGCTATAATTTTCTCCTAAATGTGCACCATTTAGGAGAAATTTACTTTAGAAGCGCCGGTGATGTCACCGGCGCATGCACACTGCGCTCCCAATAGACGGCATGCTGTCTATCAAGAGAGCCATGCCACAGCCAATCGTGCACGGGAGTGACATCGCCGCTCAGCCAATCAGATGGCTGCTGCTTGCGAACCTGAAAGGAAGACAAGGTGAAGATGGAACCCTCAATGAGCAGTGACAGCACTCTGCTGGAGGGCTTCAAATTTCAGGTAAGGCTTTCATAATGTGCTAGTATGTGATGCATACTAGCATATTATGCTCTTAACTTGCAGAAGGTGTTTTTTTGTTGAGATTTTTTTTTTTGTAGTTTACTACCACTTTAAAAGAAAAAAAATTTCAAGAATTTTCTTAGAAAGTGATTGTAAAGGCTCCAGGTTTTTTTACATTCATGTATTCTATGAAGGTTAAAAAAAAAAAAAAAAAAAAAAAAAAAAAAAAAAAAGTGTGCAGCAGCCCCCTAAATACTTTCCTGAGACTCATCGCGATCCAGCAATGTGCATGAGAGCCTCGGCTCTCCCTCTCCCTCCTTATTGGTTCCCGGTGCTTATGCTGTTACACAGTTTATATTGAATGTTAATGTACATGAGAATTCATAAATAGTTTAGTCTTTGTACCATTTCCTATGGATATTTCTATAGTTAATTATATGCCGTCACCAGTGGCCTTATTTGGTAATGCATTTGTTTTTCATATTGCCTCCCTGAGATCTATGACAGTTCCTTTGTATTTGAAGCTCCTCCCTTCTTGAGTACAGCACTTCCTGTGTCATGGAGGCAGCTAACAGTCCACATGTAACAGGAACACATGTATTCTGCATAGTACGCTACAGAAAGTATCATCTTGACTGCATGATACTGGAAACCATTCATTCTGCTGTATCTTGTTGTCACATGTACAGAATAAAAGCAACTTCTGGATGAATACAGTATTGGTGAGTTAAGCTATCTGATAAGGATTGCCCACAGTGATTATATATGCTTATACAGGCTAGGCAGAGAGGTCTCACAAGGGATAAATTGCTATCACCACAATCTGAGTCAGAATAGTGCTGTCAATCACAGCTAGTGAGCGAATGAGCAGAGATAGGGGGTAGGGACAAGCCACGGCTCTGTTTGTGAATGGACACACAGACAAGTGGCTCAGGAGTGAGCCTTCTTGGGTGCTGCCATAGCAAGCTACTTGTTCTACTTGGGGCAGGAGCGCCAGCAAGGGACCTGAGAAGAGAGGAAGCCAAAACCATGACACAGAGGAGGCAAGTATAACATGTTTGTTCCACTGTAGGTAAGAACATAGCCACACTTTTTGCTTGCTCCCAAGATGGACCAGGAACTATGGACCACAGGATGTGTAGCCTGCGTACAGAAGTGTGCATGACAGCAACTAAAGTGCACTTCTCCTACAACCGAAAGTGAGGGGCAAGAGGAGAAGTTTTAAGAGCTCACAGGCGTTACATGGATGCAGAAAAAAACACAGTATGAGTCAATTTAATGAAAAATGGATTACACGGCCATTAGGTAATGGATGTGTATGGATTACTTTTGGAGAATAAGCATATCGTTTAGTGTCAATTTAGGAATTTTCAACAAAAGCTAAGTATTTTTGTTGACATGGAAAGATTTGCTGCTACTCTGTAGCTTACACGGGCATACAATTTAAGACTTTTATTGAATATACATAAAGGGTTCCACTGTAGTAAGAATACTTCAATATAACCTGAACTGTAAATGTGATCCAGTTATTTTATTATATGGGGAATGGAAATCTATCCAGCAAGACCTGGAAGCAGGAGAACCTCTGTGCTCTTAGGATGTCTGGGCTGCAAGTTGTTGTCAGTAATGAGATGGATTTGGCAATGGATTGAGCGCTCAATAATAATGTTGTTTGTGAGAATCTCTCCCCGTGGAGAGGAGACGCTCACTCTGCTATTTATTATCTCTGGATTGTCTTCCTCTGAAAGCTTCAAAAAAAAGACCCCCACCCTGCTACTTGTTTCATCCTCCATCCATACAGCACCATTTATTTATAACTACTTCTACCATCCAAGTTCTGTATGGGAAGGGGGCTGTATTTTAAGGGGGTATCCTGTAAAAACTGGTTCACAGTGTTGTCTGAAAAGGTTCCAGAACAAAGCTTCAGTGCAACACAACAAAGCACTTGGGGTTTGGACTAAAACAGGAGAAAAAATGACTTAGCCAGCACAATGCCTACACTAATCATATACTGCCTACCTGCTACCTGGATCAGGCACTCATCTCATCAACACAAAAGAACTACTTATGTTGACTGAAGATTGCTAGATTAACAAATAGTTGGGTATGCAGTAGAAAAGATTTGTTCATGGAAATAAATAGAATACTACTTCTGACACCTTTAAATGGGAATGTAAAATCACAGTTGATATTTTGATGTTAGATTGTAGAGAACTGAATAATCTGCTTGTTTGTACAGGAGATGTGTGAAGCTGGTAAATACCATAGAACATTGAAACATGAAATGCCTCCTCAGGTGTTCCGAAGAAGCCTCTGAGCTTAAAAAACAAACACTTAATGTAAAAACAGATGGTTACCTGCTATCCTGCCTGTTAATAACAGGACAAAAAGGGGCTATGCACAGCACAACTGTCGGGTAATATGCAAAAACAGTATACAGAACTAAACCCACAAATGGCCTGAAGGCAAGTCAAACATAATGAAGGACACTGGACAGCAGGTACATGGTGGAGAACACTGGACACTAATGTCTGTGTTTAGTGTTGGTCTTCAGACCATTACTGATAATATTACTCAAAATAAAGTCCAAACTGCTATGATACAAGGATAGCCATAGAGCACCATTTCCGCTGTAGGACTCATTACAGCATCATATTTCACCAGGAAACAGATGCAGGCAAAATATAAAAGTTCCATCCTACAGCATTTCACCCCACACAGCATTATTCAAAGTGCATTATTGTATACAACGCACAAGCAAAAAATGCAACATGTCCTGCTTCTTTTCAAAGCACATCAACTCAGCTCCCTGTTACATAATTATATAGTTAGTCTGGCTGAAGAAAAAAAAAAAAAAAAAAAACCAAACACCTTATAATCCTATACCCACAGTTGATCCAGAGAAGGCAAAAAACCCAGCAAAATATGATCCAATTTGCTTCCAGATCAAATTAGATGAACTATATCCATAAAGGAAGAAGGCAAATTGCAATCTTCTTCCAATGGTAGGTGGTTTGGCAATGCTGTCCAACACTGCCGGTGTAAATAAGCCCTGCATGCTTACCTGCATGTTTATGTGAGCATTATGGAAGAGAAGTGTAGACACTAGTTGTGTGTGTCCTCTATCACAGGCCCAGTGGAGGAGGCCGCGACCCTATAAAAAACAAAAACACAAATATACAGGAATTTATAAGTAAATGTGACTTCCAATTGATCCTTTACACAAGCCCTCCAAGTATCTGAAATAATGACATTTTTTTTTCTTCATTGAAACCTTAATTTTCAATAGTTGGTGTAAATCTGTTTAGATTCTTCTTCCCCCCCCCCCCCAACATCAATATCTTGGTTATATAGGCCTAGTGAACAAGAGGCAATGTATGAGTGTGAGACAAAAAAAAAAAAAAAAAAAAAAAAAAAAAAAAAGTTGTTGAACATTAAGTTCATCATAACTAGCTAGATCAAAATCTCACATATTAAAAAAGTGGACAGTATTTCTTCTCAGTTTTCGCTCACTTTTATATAACATAATTTTCATTATAGTACATGAAAACTGTACTGTAGTTACAGAAACAAATTTGGCCATTCTAGATCACTGTTGTGAGCTTTATAGCCAAAGACTAAAGGCTGCCCATACAATACCCAGTTTTTTTTGTTTTGTTTTTTTTCTTTCCTTCATTCAGCCGGCCGACTAAACAAAAAAACAAAAAAAAAACAAAAACAAAAAACTGAGCTGGTTTTTCCATCCACACACTTGAGGTGGATGGGGAACTTCTCCCTGCTTTTTTATAGTATTTTGACTGCAGGACTCCACTCTTCTGAACTGGTGGAATTCCCATCCAGGTGTAACCAGCTTTAGAACCAAGTCAAAAGGGATGCATTAAACTCTTGTTTCTTTTAAGTGAAAACCATGACAGCTCTGCGACCTGCTTCCTAAAAAAAAAAAAAAAAAAAAAATAAAAAATCTATTGCAGATTCTATCCTCTTTGAAAAATCAGGCAAACGAGTTGCGTTGTGTTTGCTACAAAACACGCACAGCCCACTTCAGGTACAATCCTGCATGAGCGCCTCCTTAGCAAGAGGCTTGCTATGAGGGCACTGTGAGAAGAGGAGCCAAGATTGCCAGCGTGGGACCCCAGAAGATGAGCTTCAGGGCCACTCTGCGCAAAAACCATTGCACAGATCAGGCACATATAACATATTTGTTATTTAAAAAAAAAAAAAAAGTCTTTACAATCACTTTAAGTGGCTTTAAAGCAAATCTGTTGCTTTGCTCTTATATACCCACCATATAATTTCCTTTGTTCCCCCCCTTGCTCCATTCAATGCTAGGAGCTAAAGAAAATAGCATGTACTTCTGAGTATAAAGTGGCATGCAACTTAATGCATATTCCAGGCCACTCAGTGCTGTGACATGGGGGTCCATAGCCAAGATTCCAGTGACTTGAAGCAAAAAGGTTTAAAGTCCACTGCCCAACTAACCCCACAATTCTTTGCCGTTAGACTTTGCCTCATCAAAAGGCAGCTATGGTTGCCAAACCTTTTGTAGTTCTCTGATGAAATGAATAGAGGCCAAAATGACCACTAAACTGTATATTTATAATATTAAACTATACTGAGATTTCAATATAGCTACTTTGAAAATATTTCACTGCCACTTCTACTCACTAGATTAATAGAAAAAATGATATCACAAGTATGAATGAGCCGACAGTCTTTAGGTAAAATGACTTCACATCACAAATAGATAAAATATGCAACCAGTGGGCTGCTTAATGTGAAAGTCTAGATCATATCACCAATACCTCAGGGAGATACATATAAAATGGTAGGCACACAGTAACCCCTCCCAATCCTCATTAATTCCCTGTGTCTCAGGCCATGAATTGATAATTGTGTCCCAGACTGAAAAGAGAACATATGCAGGAACTGCTGAAAGCAGAAGAAATTAAATAGATACATCATAATATGAGTCAAAAATTAGGCTCCTTTCACACAAAGGGTCTGATCAAGTCCACCTGTCCGTTTTTCAAGCAGACCTGATCGGATGGTTCATTTACCCCCATGGACTGGCAGGTATAAAATGGACTGCTGATCAAAATGAAGTCTGCCCCATGTGAAATGGGCCTTAAACATACACCCAAAACAGTAAACCAATCAGCAAATTATTTAAAGTAGGAATTATTGAGTTAGTGGGTAAATTATGTCCTATAATTGGAGGTGCGGCTTTAAAAAAAAACAAACAAAAAACCTTGACTTATAACATCCAAGTGAAAGACATAACACCATGTCAGAAAACCCCCCCCCCTCAAAAACAGACTCACTTAGTTGTAAAAAAGATTGAGTCGGTATTTTGTTGAACCACCTTTTGCTTTTATTACAGCCTTTAGTCTATTGGAATAGGTCTCTACTAACTTTGAACATCTAGGATTTTTCAATATGTGACAGCTCTTTTTTGCAGAATTGCTCAAGTCCAGTTAAATTTGATGGTGACCGTTTGTGAACTGCAGTCTTCAAGTCAAGCCACAGATTTTCAATGGGGCTTGAGTCTGGGCTCTGACTAGGCAATGCAAGGACATTCCTTCAACCACTGTGTGGTCATATTTGCTGCGTGCTTTGGGTCATTGTCATGTTGGAAGGTAAACATTCTTCCCATTGATGACTTTCTGGCAGAGGGCAGCAGATTTTCCTCAAACATTTGACAGTGCTTTGCCTTCTAGTACAAAGTGCTTCAGTCCCTGCTGCAGATAAAACACCCCAATAAAAAGGATATTACCACCTCCATGCTTTACTGTATGAATGGGGTTCTTCTGGATGGTGAGCTGTACTGGATTTTCGCCAGACATATCGTTTAGTGTTGAGGCCAAATAATTAAATTTTAGTCTCATTGATCATAACACCTTTTTCCATGTGGTCATGACTGCACGTGGCCTTTCTTGAGAAGTATTTTTTTCTTGCAACCCTCCCATACAAGCCACACTTGTGGGAATTTGAATTTGTGATATTGTTGTCACATGCACACAATGACCACTCTTTAAATTCCTGAAACAGCTTCAGAGTTGCTGTAGGCCTCTTGGTAGCCTCCCTGGCCAGTTTCCTCCTGGCTCTTTCATCCAGTTTGGAGTGACGTCCTGATCCAGGGAGGGTCTGTATTGTACCAAAGACCTTCCACTTCTTAACAGACTTCACTATGCTTCTAGGCATTGATAAAGCCTTTGACATTTTTTGTAACCATCTCCCGACTTGTGCCTGTCCAAAATTTTATCCCAGAGATCTTTTGACATAGTTGATTGGTTGCATCAGCTGCACTACCAGGGAATGAAATGCTATATGTATAATGCTAAATGTATTATATCTTTCACTTGGATGTTATATGTTGTACTGAGTAAATACAGCCAGATAAGAAAAAAACGTCCGTCTATATTTGAATCTGTATAGGAGTGGTTTTATAATTATAAATTAGCTGCTGCACCTGCAGGGCATTAATAATGAAAATTGCAGGGCCTGCATCCCTTTAGACATGATTTCTCATAGGGAGAAACTCAACAACAAAATTTTTGTTGCAGGGGGAAACCAAAAATCTGACTTGTATCCTAATGCAGACTTTAGGGAAAAATCAGTAAGCCAATCACAAATAGAAAATTACATTTTCATGGGGCGTTCTGTACATAGTTAGTCTGGCTGAAAAGACAAAAAAGTCCATCCAGTTCAAGCATAGAAAAAAAAAAAAAGTTATTATCCTATACCCACAGTTTATCCAGAGGAAGGCAAAAAAGAAACCCAGCAAAGCACGATCCAATTTGTTCCTGCTGGGAAACAAAAATTCCTTCCTGATCCCCCGAAAGGCAATCAGATGTTCCCTGGATCAACTTAACCTATAAATGTTAGTATCCAGTTATATTCTGGATATCGACGAAAGAATCCAGGCCTTTTTTGAAGCAATCCACTGAGCTGACCAGAACCAACTCTTGAGGGAGTCCATTCCTCATTTTCACAGCTCTCACTGAAGAAACCTTTCCGTGTTTGGAGATTAAATTTCTTTTCCTCCAGAGTTATTCACCCTGAGGTCAACACAGAGTTCACTATATGAACTACTGATTTATTTATAAATGTTGATCATATCCCCCCTTAATCTCCTCTTCTCAAGAGAGAATTCAGTTCCTCTAATCCTTCCTCATAGCTGAGCTCCTCCATGCCTTTTATAAGTTTGGTTGCCCTTCTCTGTACTTTCTCAAGTTCCCCAATGTTCTTTTTCTGAATTGGTGCCCAAAACTGAACTGCATATTCCAGATGAGGTCTTACTAATGATTTGTACAGGGGTAATATGATATCCCTCTCTCTGGAGTCTATACCTCTTTTTATACAAGAGAGGATTTTGCTCGCTTTAGAAGCCGCAGCTTGGCATTGCATGCCATTATTATGCTTGTGATCTACCAGAACCCCCAGACCCTTCATTGATTTCCCCAGTTGTACTCCCCCTAGTATGTATGATGCATGCACATTCTTAACCCCCAAGTGCATAACCTTACATTTATCAACATTAAATCTCATTTGCCACATAGTTGCCCAATTAAACAGTGCATTAAGGTCGGCTTGTAAGTTGAAGACATCCTGTAAGGACGTTACTCCACTGCACAGCTTGGTGTCATCTGCAAAGACTGAAACTGGATTTTTAATCCCAGACCCTATATTGTTTATAAATATATTAAAAATTAAGGGTCCCAACACTGAACCTTGAGGTACACCACTGATGACCCGAGACCAATCGGAGTATGAATCATTAACCACTACTCTCTGAATACGATCTTTTAGCCAGTTTTATATCCATTTACATACTGATTTTTCCAAGCCCGTAGACTTTACCGTACACATTAGCCGTGTGCGGGGAACTGTGTCAAACGCTTTTGCAAAATCCAAGTATACCACGTCTACCGCCACCTCACTGTCCAAGGGTTTGCTAACCTCCTCATAAAAAGAAATCAGATTTGTTTGACAACTGTCTTTCATGAATCCATGCTGTCTGTTGCTTAAAATATTTTTTCCCAGCAAGAACTCATCTATGTGGTCTTTTATTAAACTCTCCAGTACCTTCCCAAATATAGAAGTTAAACTAACAGGTCTATAATTACTTGGTAAAGATTTTGACCCCTTTTTAAATATTTGCACCACATTAGCCTTACGACAATCCAGTTGTACTATGCCAGTCATTAAAGAGTCCCTAAAAGTTAGAAACAATGGCTTTGAAATAACAGAGCTCAATTCTTTAAGGACCCGTGGGTGTATGCCATCCAGTCCGGGTGCTTTATTCACCTTTATACGGTCTAAATATTTTTAGATCATATCAATTGTGAGCCAATGTGGATCATCTGGAGCTGTGTCAATACCATGCCCATTATGGACAAGAGCTCCCCCATACTCCTTTGTATACACAGAGCTGAAGAAGGTATTAAATAAATTTGCCTTCTCTTTGTCCCCAGTCCACCCACTCTAGATTAATTTTGTAAAGGGCCCACATGCTCAGACCGAACCTTTTTACTATTAATACATTTGAAGAATTTTTTGGGGTTGGTCCTTCTATCTTTTGCAATCGGTCGTTCATTTTCAATTTTTTCAGCCTATATTTCCTTTTCGCATATTCTGTTATATTCTTAGTAATGTTTAAAAACGATGATAGTGTTCCTTCATTTTTATATTGAATAAAAGCGCTTCTTATTATCTATAGCTTTTTTAAACTTTGGCTGTAAGCCACATAGGTTTGATTTTTAGCCTATTAAACTTGTTGCCCATGGGAATATATTTTGCAGTGTGTTCACATACAATCTTTTTTGAAGAACTCCCATTTCTGTGTTGTGTTCATTGATGCCAGTATTCCCTTCCAGTCCAAGTCTTGGAGAGCAGCTCTCAGCCTTGGAAACTTACCTCTTGAAATTGAGCGTTTTTATTTTTCCCGTACGTACTCGCTGTTTACAGTGAACAATAAATTAAATCATGTTATGGTCACTGCTACCCAGATGTTTTTTTATATGGACATTCGTAATAAGCTCTGCATGGTTTGAGATTACCAGGTCCAGTAGAGCATCATTCCTAGTAGGGGCCTCTATGAACTGTACCATAAAATTGTCCTGTAGCAGATTTTAAATTTTTTTAACTGTTCCTGCAGTACCATAACTCCAGTCAATTTCCGGGTAGTTAAAATCCCCATCATCACTGTACCAGCCCTTGCAGCCCTTTCGATCTGTGCAAGGAGCGGAGTCTCCACCTCCTCATTAACACTGGGAGGCCTATAACAAACTCCAATGATTTCCTTTGTAGTACGCACCCCCATGTGCAGTTCCACCCACACTTCAGCCTCATCACGCTCTCCATCAACTAGGTCCTCTTTCACACTCGCTCTGAGATCACTTCTCACATAGAGACCAACACCACCACCTTTCCTATTTACTCTGTCTCCTATTTACTCGTCAGGAATTATAATGGCCCAGTCTGCGAAGAATGAAGCCAAGATTCAGCAATTCCGATTAAATCATAGCTCTCTTTATGCAACAAAGCTTCCAACTCACCTATTTTGTTTGGCAGACTTCTGGCATTGGTGAACACTTTAAATTGATTGACACCTTGTTCACACGTATTTTGCATATTTTTTAGTTCCATACAAAATGGTACCAATTCCACTGGTTGTTTTTAACATGGGAACCTTCTTATCTGTCATATCCTTCCCCCCCCATCTTTTCCCATTCCACCCACTAATAAGTACTGACCCTGACATACTGTGTACAGAACCCCTCCAGGTAGCCATACTGTATTTTACAGAAATGTACAGCTCCGCAAATAGAAAAAAAAAAGTAGCGTTTCAATTGCGACTTAAGTCCCATTGCAATTAAAAATGTACCTTTCCTTTTTCAATTTGCTACTTTTTTCCATACAAAAGTGGAGTTACCCTTTAATACTGTTTAAATTGCTTAACTGAAGCAAGTATTTAACCGAAGAGGCCTGACAGTTTTCTGATATTTACAGCATGCAGGTAATCTGACATTCAGTAAAAAGGTTTTCAATGGCTGCAGCCCTTGTATTTTTCTTGTGATACTGTAACATAAGTAAAACACCCCCCCCCCCCCCCTTTTTTTTTTTTTACAGGGTGCTGCACTACAGCAGTGATATGTTGCTTATTCTGGTGTAGTGTTTGGGTACAATTCTAAATGTGAGGAGCTGTGGAATGTGCATTTTACCAAAAAATTACCACAATTCACAGTTCTGAATGTGATTTAAAGACAGTAACCAATGCATACCTCATCATCTGCCACATTCACCTCAATTGCCCCTGTAGCCAGGGCATGTGATATTCGCGAGATGTCATTCTCCCGGCAGTAGTCAAAGATGTCTTTATCTTCATCCCTGCGAGAACAAAGATTTGCTGTACATATGACTCATTAATGGCACACATTTTGACATGGATGCAACAGTAAAAACTTGAACTCTGAGCACCTAGTTTGATTCATGGAAACCTAAAAAAACATCCATGCGGTCAATAATAAAACAAACAATTTAGACATTTTCTAAATTTTCTAGAGAAGTCCAATTGGTTATCAAATATGATATTTTGGTTTTCATACAGACAAGATTAAATGGAGTTTTCAAAGCACAATTGCTGCAGAGATGTCTAGAAACCTATATGGGAAGCCTGCTAAATCTGAGTCAACTGGATCTGACAATTTAAAATGAAACAGGAGTACCTCTGCTCCAGCTGTCACCACACAGCCTGCACCACCATGTTTTGCACATTAAATGCCTTTATTCATCACATAGAGTAGTCTGAGCTCTTGAGGGCACAGGTATGACAGTACCAACCAGACTTTCAAGTCAAGTGCCTAGACCCAGCTTCTCCCACCAACAAAATCTCTGTTGGCTCAAGACTAGGATGAATAGCTTCACCGACCAACTGCATTTCTTGGGAGGTAGTAGGTGGGACAGGGCTCTTGACCAGGAAATCTGGTGAGTATTAATCACCACTGTGCCAGGAATTAGGGGCACCAAGGCCCCTGAATAAAAATATATAGGACCTGGCATGTGGCACCTGGATGTGCTTGCTATATCGTGACACTAATGGTAGGTGTATTTTTATTCCATTTTCGTCTCACTTCAAGGTTAAATCATTTGGACTGACTAACACATTTGCAAAGTTTTCCAAAAGGAGTAACATCTAATACACTGGTTTGTTGCCTTGCATTTAATCTACATAAAATATGATGTCGCAGTTAAGAAAAAAAATATATCTAAAATAAGGTAATTTCTAACCGATAAAGCAGGCACAGAGAAAAGGAAAAGAAGCGTGTAAAAGGTCCTCATATAACTTCCTCTTGGTACTCTGGGGATCAGAATCACATCACCTGTAATTATTTCTAGTCTTTAATCAGCCAATGCTCACCGCCACTTAGGGACCAATAGAAGCAAAAGCTCATTAAGAGCAGCGTCCACAGCCCCTGGTAGCGCAGTGAGCTTTTAATTGCTTAGTGTGATTAAAGCAGTGGTGCGAGTGTGATCATTTTCATAAGAATGGGGTAATGTGGGCAAAGGGGGGTTTGCCATCCCTGGGGTGCCCAGCATACACACACTGGGCAATCATGCAATTATTCACACCAGCTGATCAGTTCCATGGCTGCATGAACACAGTGCTGAGCACATTGCAGGAGGTGGGGGAAAAGCAGTCTTAGAGGATGATGGGGCTTACTCTGAGCCCAGTAAAGTAGACAGAATATGCAGTTCAGCAGGACTTCAGACTACTACCTCATAATTGGATATACTGTAGTAGATCTAAGAATGCTACTAAAAAGACAGAACTGCAGATAACTTCACACTCAGTTCAAGCTAAGCTGATCACAAACAAGCCAACCTTCTATTAAAATGACTACTAGGCCAGACATGTCAAACTGGAGCTTTCTGGGCCACATGTGGTCCACTTCCTCCTCTTTCCCAAGCTAGTTTAGTAATTTCAAATGAGTAAGATCCTGGTCTTTTTACAGCTCAAAATGGTGATATTCCCTGTCAACTGTTATGAGACCTTAAAAAAAAAAAAAAAAAAACAAAAAAAAAACCCAAAACCAACAACCACACACGGTACAAAAATAAAATGGACAAATAAAACAATTTAAATCACTTTTATAAACATGGCTTTATAAAGAAAAAAAAAAATCAAACCCTAGAAGCATTGTAACATTACTTCAATGTAAGTGTGTCCCTTGCAAAAAAAAAAAAAAAAAAAAAAAAAAAAAAAAAACTGTGAGGATCTATTTGGGATAGCTTATTCAACTTTGGCACTTTATTTCATTTGAGTATGGCATGCATTGTAATAAATTTTGGATAGATGGATACTAATAACCACTTTTTCACCCATCATAGCACTGCTGCCAATAGGGTATCACCAGCTTTAGACGCATGCAAGCTTACACATTATGGCACAGAGCAGTGCGCAAAAATCACTGATCCCAATGCAGTTTACAGAGATAACATTTGTTGCAGTACCTTACACATGATTCTTACCCTCTGTACGGCTTTACTGATTAAACCCAATGGCTGCCACGTGTTTACACCAATAAAATTTCATTTGTCAAATAAGGTAATTTATATAAAACTTAGTTGTGATTTTTACTCATATGTTATATGGTCTCCATTAATAAAGCTCTGCGTACATAATCAGTTCCCAGAAACCGATACAAGTCACTTGTATGATCCAATGCATGGCTAGTATGAATTCTGCTGGTCTGTGCACAGCTCCGTAAAAGCAAAGGCCTAACTGCCTGGCCACACAGACTGACCTGTGATACTTAATGCCAAAACAGTCCATTTATCTAGAAGAGTAACTAATCAATTGCAGAGCCCATCAATCATCCCTGGTGGAACTAGTCGGGTCTGAGCAGAGAGGAGAGGACAGATGGCTGCCCGAGAGAGAAGGATTAATTCAATTCTGATAGATTACTGCAAAGCTTCATGGAACAGAAAAGAGAGGGGGGGACGAGAGGCACAGTGGAATGTGGGAGACCCGTTATGTGAACAGAATAAAAGTAGTATAAAAAAGCCACAGGAGAGATGACAGGTTTGCACATTCATAGAAAGAGGATAAAAGAAGAAGAGAAGATTTCCCTTGAATTACCTAAGTGTTTCCTGCACCTGATAAAGGCAGCTGACCACTCGTCCACCGAAGCTTGCCTTGTGCTCTTCAACAGGATCCTCAAATGACTGAAAAAGAGATATATTTGGCACATCAAACTCTGGAAAACTACTAAAAAAAAAAAACAAAAAAAAAAAAAAAAAAAAAAAAACAAACAAAAAAAAAAAAAACTTCAACATGCTACTTTTACTAGCCGAAAAACACAGCCTCACTTCTAAAAACTCAACTTAGAAGTGCATGAATAGCCAAATTGTTTTTGGCTTTGCATAGAGTAGAAAGGGTCAGAATGTTTCAGGTTTGTTGGGGAGATTCACCATTTTTTTGTCCCATTGACCATGGTTTCTGAAAAACAAAGTGAAGAGAAATCCAAAATGTTTTCCTTGCCACCATAGCAAGTTTAAATATTTTATAAGGGACATGTTCTAGTGACAACTGTCTGAAAAGGCAAAATTTCATCCCAGTTCATTTGGATCAATAAATAAATAAAAAGACCATTTGCTATATAGAACTTTTAACTTAAAAATTACAAACTAAAAACACTTGTTTCCCTTTTCTTTGAATGTATATAAAGTTATTTGTTCTATACAGGAGTCCCAAGGCGTTTCTAAATAGCAAGCATTGCTTTCCAACTCTCTGGTTAAAACTCTACAGGGCCTGTTTGTGCTCCCATCTTGTCTTGGTTGTCCAGATACAGAACAATGAGGGAACATTGTCATCCCTAGGATTGGTAGTATGTTCCTGGCAAAATCACCAGGTAAAAACGTAAAAGAAAAGAAGCTTGAGAAGAAAAACAAACGCTGCTACCACATCTAAGGACTGAAAAGCTGCCATATATTGAATTCTGCTTCTGAGTTTCAGTTCATTTTTATTAGCATATTTTCACTTTTGTCAGACGTAAGTGGAGAAAATCCCACCGAAGTTTGACAAATAGGTGGGGTGGACATAACCAAAACTTTTCCATGAAATAATGGCCAAATAGCAATGGCGACCATTTGTAAATAGGCCTTTTACTATAAAGTAGGATCCCAATAGATCGTATCTCAAACAAAATAGGAGAGCCTTCTTCCAAAGCTCCTTAATTTATGGGGATTTTTTTTTATGTTTGTTCAAGAGATTAGCTAACCTGTGCTCAGCAGTCCTTCCGGCACTAGAAATATGGTTAACAGTGTACATTTAGAGGCTTACAATACTCGGCCATTAAAAAGGTTTTAGAAAAAAAAAAAAAAAAAAAAAAAAAAAAAAAAAGGTACCCACATTAATGGAAAGCTATAGAACCCCAATCCCACAAGTTGCTCAAAATACTAAGCACATCAGCCACGCCTGTGCAAGAACAAGAATTTGCATAGCACAACGTTTAAAACATACACATTTTCAGTGACAGCCAAAGCTGTATTTCAAGTGTCCATCTGCAGCAGAAAGAGTGTAATAAATAATGCTGTAGAGCCGTAAATTACCAATGAGCAGGACATTAAAAGGCAGCAGGCAAGTAAACATGAACCAGCAAAGTAAGGGAGGAAGACTTCCAGGTTGCATATATTATACGAATATCTTTCCCAGTTTATAAATGCATAGATTTCCTATAGTTTAAAGCACCACAACATAACCCAATCTAAAATGAACATCTGAAATCTAAGCAAGCCCGTTTTTTGTGCAATATATTGTTCATTCACATCAGTCCCCTGCCGTCAAGGAGCTTACAATCTAAGGTCCTTTACTCACATTCACACATACTAGGGCCAATATAGACAGGAGCCAATTAACCTACCAGCATGTCTTTGGGGTGTGGGAGGAAACGGGAGTGCCCGAAGGAAACCCACAGGCACAAAAAAAAAAAAAAAAAAAATTTTGGCAGGGGGCGTGCCATGGTTAGGATTTGAACTAATGACCTTAATGCCACTAGGTGGAAAATGCTAACCACTTAGCCACAGTGCTGCCCAGGAGCACCAGAGGGGGACCTGACAAGAAGATTGGAGCTGCAAAAAGTAGGTACATATGACATGTTTAATGTTTTATTGTAAACCTTCTACATTAAAATAATAAAGCTAGCAATGGATTCCAAACTATGCAAATATCAGAAGTAAAAATTAACACCCCCCTCCCCAAAACAGGATTCATTTTAACCAAACTAGAGCGTGATGAGAGAGGATACGTCAGGACAACTTCTTTGGGAGCTGAATGGTAAGCTTGGTTAATTGGGAGTCAGTGACAAGCACTAATGTAAGATCTCAAAGACATTCGAGCCAAACTTTAGGTTGGGTGAAGCTTTTCGTGATGGGAAAGATTCCCAATACTTGAGCCAGTTTTAGTAAGCAGTAATAAAGTTCCTTCAACTTTGTTTCAGGAGGGTGAGAGATACAATCCAGCATTTGCAGACAGCCTGTATAACAAAGAGAGACAGGAGTTGAAGTTAAGCGGGAAGGACACTGAGCCTAAGCAGGTTACAAGTCTGGAAGGAGCCTGTTGGAACACCCGAGAGTAGATACTTGTTCTTAGGAGTGAAGATAAGAAATGTTCCCAATGGGGTAATAACTTAAGGCCAAGAAGGCAACTCAGGTGACAATCAAAGCGCCTTTGCAGAACAGCAGGATAAGGAGGTGGGTTTGACCTGTATCCAAGGGTCCCAGGTAGGAGGTGCAGTGAGAGAAAGCATCAGAGGTTCTGACCAAGGAATTAGCTCCATCAGGGAAAGATTCAAACTCTTTCTGAATGTATGTCATCGGGAGAGTAGAGAACGTACGTCCAGATGTTCTTATGAGCAAGGAAGTGGAACTGAATCCTCAGCAATAAGGTATGTTTCTCCTCTGTCATGGCCCATTTCAAGGGGAGTAATGTATGTCCTTTAGCTATAGAGGAATGTGTGCTCCTTTGAAATATAGGGTGCCCTTCTCCCTAGCTTTAAGAAGAATCTCCTCTTTCTTGAAAAAGTAGACTCTGCACAGGACATCCCACGGCAGAGTAAGGTTTGGGTTCCAGTAGCTAGGCATTCAGATGATCCTATGGATATCTATTGAGTCCACCTTGTTCCCCACGAATATGCTGAATATTCACTGGACTGGCAGTAGAAGGTCATCTTGTCCTATCGCTTCTGGGATGCCAATCAAGCGGTTATTATTCTGTCAACTGTGGTCCATCAGGTAATCAGCATGAGATCACAGCATCTGGTGCTGAAAATGGTGAGCCCGTATGGTCTGTTGTAGTTCTGACTGTACGGTCAGAGACAGACTACAATCTTTAATGTCTCTATGCAGTCATGGAAGCTTTGCATGCAGCGGAAAATGTTCTCCATGTCCTGTTTGGTTGGCAGGAGGGGGAAGTACTGCTTCATAGGATCTTGTAAACTACACTTTTTCCTGATCACTACTTGATTCTGAGGAGGCTTGAAGGTGTGAAGTTTGAGAGCAAGATCAGGTAGGAGAAAGGAAACCCCTCCGTTGGGCACCATATTGGCCAAGTGAAAATGATCGGCAGAAAAAAAAAAAAAGCCCTAACATCTTTTGTGGCAACCAGGGAATCTCTTGAATCCATCAGTTGGGGCATCTTATTTTAAGTTTTACCCATCTTGGGTGCATACTCAAGATTAGGACTGGTCTAAGATATGAAGGCCACCGACAACCTCCCCTCCAACTATTTCAATTTATACTGTACAGCCACTAGCAGAAAATCAGGTTTAGTTGAAATTACCTAAAAAAGTATGAATCCAAAATGATTCATCCTTATACATCACCTACTCAACAAAACCAAGAGATTTACAGTACACGTGCCCAAAAAACACCAAGAAATCTAGCCTTGCAACCATAATTTTAGGTTAGATGCCTAGCATACGCAGATCATTTCTAAAAACAGCCTGGGTATGGCTGGCTACACAAACGGATTTATAGTTAAAATCCCAAATCTGCAGCACTTCTTACAAACATAATGGGGGCTAAAGAAAAACTGTACTTCACTGAAAAAACAGATTTCAGTCTGCCATACCTGGTGGTAAATAAACTCACATGCTGGCCTTATATCTTTCAGGTGCTCTACTGACAGACAAATAATGTGTTACTGCCATAAAATGATTTACCATAACCAAGTATTGCACAACACTTTTTTTGTACTGTGTATGGACTGTACTCAAGTCGTTGTAATAGCTCACTAATACTGCTACAGTCACCTTCAGAAATCACTATACAGTCTTCAATCCATTCAGTATATGCCAAATCAGCCATAACATTATGATGACCCACCTAACAGTGAGTAGGCCCCCCTGTTGCCACCAAAACATCTCCTTTTGCAGTCAAAACAGCCTTGACCTGCTGCGGCATGAATGTAACTAGACCTCTGAAGATATACTATGGTATCTTGCACCAAGCTGTCAGTAGCATATCCTTTAAGTTCTGTAACTTGCAAGGTGGGGCCTCCATGAATCAGACTTCTTTTTCCAGCACATCCCATAGATGTTCAATGGATTAAGATCTTGAGAATTTGGAAGTCATTGAACCATTTTCACAGTGTGGCAGGGCCCATTAGCATACTAAAAGAGGCCACTGCCATCAGGGAATACAGTTTCCAACAATGGGTATACTTGGTCACCAACTATGTTTAGGTAAGTGGTATGTGTCAAAATAACATTCCATCAGAACATTGCTCAAAGCATCAATCTGCCTCCGCTGGCTTGCCTTCTTCCCATTCTGCATCCTTGTGCCATCTTTTTCTCTGGCAAGTGATGCACTTGCACTAGGCCATCCACATGATAGCCACATATGGGTCCATCAGGAGCCTATTACAGCCCAGTTGGAACTTTAAAGCTTCATGCTGCACTCTGTCTGAAGGCACCAGCTGAACTTTGAGCTGCATCACCTCCCGACACCAAACAAAATGACAGAGTCCCTGCAGGTGGCGAACCAGGTCAGAGGAAAAAGATAGAAGTTTCATTGTCTCTTAAGAAAAAAAAAAAAAAAAATTTGGCAAGTGAGAATGGAAGCATTGTGACCAAGTCATTTTGTTCCATTTTCCCAAGCCAGACCATTGAGTAATGCAGATCTGCACAAAGAATTTTTAAAAAGTTGGAAAAGGTCTGTGCACTAGT